GTTTTTCTCTGTTTCCTACCAAGTTTGTCCCTGTTAGCTGACAAAGTGAAGGATTTTCATGCTTAGACCTAATTTAAGTCTTCCCCTTTTGGAAGAAAAGCTGCTGGGTTTTGTAGCCAGCTCTTAAGACGGTGAAACTACCTTTCTCACCGACCTAGTCAGGAAAGGGGATAGAAGGATCCCTAAGCAAGAAGGCTAAAGACTCCTACTGTTCTTATTGAAACTCTAGTGGTTTTTCAGGAGGAAATGCTTCCCAATTAAATGTTTGTCTTTGGTCAATTTCCAGGGCCCTGAAAATTGTGATTTTTTTTTTAACACATTTGCTCAGTTTTATACATATCTTTTTTTCACTGACATCTTCATGCCCGCAAAACCAGGAGTCAGCCCCTCAATCCCCGCCTCATCTGCGTTTTTGATACTTATATTGTATCTTTATTTAAAAATACATATTCATTACTACTCTCTTATAACAATTATTTATTCTTAGTGCTAAAGGTAAATATATATTCAACACTTACCCCTAGCCTTTATGTGAATGTCTCTTCAGTTTGAAGTATATTCTATTGGAGAATCCTCAGGAAATGTTCATGGGGCAATATTCCCTGAGTTCTTGCATGACTCTAACATGATTTTTATAGTCTTCATATTAAAGACTGAATGTAATATCTTTAACTCATATTTTCTTTCCTTGAGTATATTCGATATGTTACTATATTATTTTCTGACATAAAGATTTGCTGTCCAAAAGTTAATAACAATTTGATTTTCTTTCCCCAGAACTGACTTTGTTTAATACTTTTATAAGAAAATGCTTAATGTCCATTCTGAGACTATTTTCCTACTTTTGCAGTATAATCTTTTAATATGTATTTTCTAGTCATTTTATTTTAAGAAATTGTACTTGAGTTATAATTTTCAGTATTTTTTCTGTCTATTGTTTATTTCCTTGAGTATCTTCTATTAAACATACTTTTTATCTTCTTTGCCTGTCTCTTTCTTTGAATCCCTTTTACCTCTTTTTTCTTTTAAAATTCATTATTTATTAACTCATTTCATTTAAAAATTTCCCTCATTCTATTTTTTAAATTTCTTTTAATGCATTAGCTTTTGTGTTACTATATTCTTGGTTTTGTTCTAGTTTGCTCTTAATTTCTGAAATGATTTTCAAAACTTATTATTTCCAACCCTTTCCTGAATTCTCTCACTTATCTTTTATAAACTTTCTTCTCTCCAATTGACTCATTTACTAGTCTTTCTAAATTTTTTCATAGCTTATATCATTTTCTTTATTTCTTTTAGCTCATTTTGAATAAGTAGGCTATAGTTTTTAGTTATTTTGAAGTCATGTCTTTCTAATATGCTGTTATTGTTGTAGGAATGTTACTTTGTTCTCTCTTTTTTTTTCTTATGGTATCTTTACATGTGATTCTACCCCATTTCTTTTCTATTGCTCGATCTAAGTATGTTTAAGTTAAATGGATTTTGATTTTTATCATGGAAGAGTGGGCCAGGCTATCTTTTCTAGAGTCTTCAGTTTCTCTAGAGCTCTCTCTTCTGTTATGTTCAAGGTAAATTATATGCCACTGTACTTTGTGAGATGTACTTCCTTTCCTCCTATCCCTCACTTTTATCTAAATTGCCTCTTTGCTTTCTCCTGTTGGGCCTGTCCTGTTTAATTTGGATTCTACTCCCAGGGGTTTCTTCTCAGTGTGGGATATGTCTGAAGAGTCCCCTCTGCTCTAGCACTGACAAGCCTTTTCTTCTTTCCCTAGAAGGCTCTGGTACTTTGGTGCCTACATACTTCTTTCTGCATTTCTGCTGCTGTTCTCAGATTAGTCTGCCTTTTTTCCCAGTGATTGCCTGTTGGTTTTTTTCTGGGGCAGGGGGAGAGTTCTCTAGTTCTAAGGGCCATCAGGAGCCCAGCTGATTTTCCTGTTTCTTTTTGCACAGTTGCTGATATCACAGTGGTCTAGTGGTTTGTCTCCACATATTAATGGTGATATATTGTTATTTAATGTTCCTGTAGATATTGCTGTAGATATTGTGTTAGTTTTGCTACTCTAGTTAGTCTGTTTTTATTAGGAATTTCAGGAATATTCAAAAAGTTATGCCACTTGTATTTCCAACTTCCCAGAATCTGGACAAACTTTACAAAAAATTTAATACTTATGTATTTGGGTAATGCACATTAAAATAGAGTTAATGTACCAAGTGGATTTCATAAACTACACAAATCTGTGCCTAGGTCAGTCTCTGTTTAAAATAAACTGATAGGTTCTTCTCTGGTGGTGCAGTGGTTAAGGATCCGCCTGCCAATGGAGGGGACACGGGTTCGAGCCCTGGTCCAGGAAGATCCCACATGCCGCGGAGCAGCTAAGCCTGTGCACCACAACTACTGAGCTTGCGCTCTAAAGCCCGTGAGCCACAACTACTAAGCCCACGTGCCACAGCTGTGCACCTCAATGAAGGGTAGCCCCCGCTTGCCGCAACTAGAGAAAAGCCCGCGTGCAGCAATGAAGACCCTACGCAGCCAAAAAAATAAATTAAATAAAATAATAAAATAAAATTTCTCTCATTAAAAAATTTTTTTAAAATAAAATAAACTGATATAAGTCGAAAAATTACAATAATCTCAAAAATAAAATCAATAATATTAATGGTGGTATGCAAACATGGCAAAAAAAGTTTCGTAGTGATATACAAGTAACTCCATTTGGAAGTACTGTTAAATGCCTTTAACCATAAAAGACAAGGGTTTTATTGTTTTGTTTTGTTTTTTAAATTACGGGGTTGGAGTAATATTTTGAAGCAGCAGTAGAAAGCAAAGAAGGCACTGATCCCATCTCCTGATCTTGAGGAAATAAGGGTATAAGAAAACAAACAACCACTGTCTGAGAATGATGCGGGGAAGATGGGCCCCAATGGGAAGGCCTGGCTTCAATTAAGGAAGGGCGGGGAGGAGAGAGTTATCAGTGAAGAGGACAGCTGATACTGATGAGAGCTTGAAACACAATGAAGTTCTAAAGGCTAGGTATAACTTTCAAAATATCTAATCTTTTTAAAAAAAATGTGCTGTTGATAATAATGAGGATGTTCATACCCCATGATCCATTCGTTATACTTCAGGGAATTTATCTTAAGTAGCTGAATGGTCAGAAGAAAGCTGTTAGTTTAAGGACGATCCTTGCTATAAAGATTGTAGTAGTTTAAATAAGGTAAAAACCCAAACTGAAAAAGCATATGCTTCAATAATTGAAAATTACTAAACAAATGATGATGTGTATATATGACATAAAGCATCTAAGAATTTCAACCACAAGTAGCTTAAGAATCATGCAAAACATTTTAAGTAAAAATATAGGTAACACTTTTTGGTTAATAAAATTGCAAAGTATGAAAAAAAATACATGCATACAAATAAGATTTGTATAGATATAGAAAAAAAGAAATAAGATTTTCAGGATATTAGGATGATAGAATTGTTTTCATTTATAAATTTTTTAAATTTATTTTTTAAAATTTATTTTTGGCTGCATTGGGTCTTTTGGTACGCGGGCCTCTCACTGTTGTGGCCTCTCCTGTTGCAGAGCACAGGCTCCGGACGCGCAGGCTCAGCGGCCATGGCTCACGGGCCCAGCCGCTCTGCGGCATGCGGGATCTTCCCGGACCAGGGCACAAACCCGTGTCCCCTGCATCGGCAGGTGGACTCTCAACCACTGCGCCACCAGGGAAGCCCTGCGTTGGGTCTTTATTGCAGCGTGTGGGCTTTCTCTAGTTGGGGCGAGCGGGGGCTAGTCTTCGCTGTGGTGCACAGGCTTCTCATTGCGGTGGCTTCCCTTGTTGCTGAGCATGGGCTCTGGAGCGCAGGCTCAGTAGTTGTGGCTCACAGGCTCTAGAGCTCAGGCTGAGTAGTTGTGGTGCACGGGCTTAGTTGCTCCGCAGCATGTGGGATCTTCCCGGCTCAGGGCTGGAACCCGTGTTCCCTGCATTGGCAGGCGGATTCTTAACCACTGCACCACGAGGGAAGTCCTATAAGTTATTTTTGACATTATTATAGTTTGCTTACATATGTATATATGTGTGTGTGTGTATATATATATATACATATATATATCACCGTCCTGAAAAGAGAGACTACAAAACTTCATCTAATATCACTTTTAAAATGAAAATAATTTATTAATGGTGCTTCCTTGGAGTTCCTTATGTGTTTTTCTGTGTCATTTCTTCTTTGGAGAAATATTTATAAGCTCTAAAATGACAATTAGGTATGAAAACAGTAAAAAGATCAGCATATGTCAGGAGTTTGGTAGGAGGAAGGTATGAATAGGCAGAGCACAGAGGATTTTTAGGTCAGTGAAACTATTCTATATGATACTACAATAGTGGATACATGTCAGACATTTGTCAAAATTCATGGAATGTACAACACCAAGAATGAACCCTAACGTAAATAAACTATGGCCTTTGGGTGATGATGTGTTTGATGTCGGTTCATTGATTGTAACGAAGGCAACACTGTGGTTAGGAGTGTTAGTAATGGGGGAGGCTGTGCATGGGTGGGGCAGGGGATATATGGAAACTCTGTACTTTCCACTCAATTTTGCTATGAACTTAAAAGTTCTCTAAAAGTAACTGTCTATTAAAATTTTTAAAAAGACAGTTAGAGGCTACGTTATAACGTTTTATGCTCTACCTGATCCAGGAAATGTGATCCGAAGACTAAAGCACCAATTTGGGGTTAAAGCAGAGGAACATAACAAGCTGTGAGCTGGATTCTGTTAGGGTAGTTTCCCTATAGTTTTTCAGTGAGAAACAACTCTGTGCTTCTCAGTGACTCTTTTGCCATTTATACAAGGACTGTGGGTGGGGTCCCCTTCATAGGTGTGCCCTGAGGATAGATGAATCTCTATACTAAGACTGTTCTCATTTCTTGGATTAAAAGCACTTTACAAACCAATCACAGATCCATGTCTTTTCTACCTTACGTTTTGTTACAGTTACGCAGGATGAATGGAGAAGCAACCATACAATAGAAATAGAGATAAATCAGACTCTGGAAATGCCGTGCTTTCAAAATGTCTCCTTAGAAATTTCATCTGAGCTCACCTTCGCATGGTTGGTGGTAAGTGTTGCCCTTTTCAGTGAATAACTGCAATGATCTTTAAATATTAATGAAGTAAAAATGAATAACAAGTAATAATAGGGAAGGAAACATGCTGGATGAGAGGCAGGCATTATGTGGAAGCTTGGGGAGTAGCCAGGGGAGGGAAGGAAGGACGCTAGGATTCCTTGCAACTCAGCAAGCCTCTGGGTCTGTGAATGCAGGAGCTTAGAAATTAGTTCCTCAAGGTTAGTTTATATTTCAAGCTATATACTAAACTGTGATTACAGAGAGAAAAAAGTGGGATGGTGCCCCCGAGAGGAGCCACATCCCGCAGAAGCTCCTACTCACACACACTTGTTTACACACACGTGCAGAGGTGTAGACTACCTTTTCCCAGAACCCTTACTACTCCATTCTGGAAAATATAACATTGCTTAGATTGGGAAGCACAAACTCTAATGCTTATCATATATAGGGAGAAAATGTGCATGAGAGAAGCAGGAGCTGAATAAGAAACAGTCACTGCCCAGCTCTATTATTGCCACAGGCCCGTAGTTGCCATATTTTCTGACTTAAAAGAATAAAACAAAACAAAACAGAAATCTGGATTTTTATGAGAAATTTTCCAAGGCAAGCCAGCCAAATGACAGTCAGCTCTTAACCAGTATATACAGTAGACCTCTAGCACTACTGTTAAATCAGTTGGTAACACAAGTCTTACACAATTATAAAGATAACCATAAACACACTTTCGAGAATCATGTAATAGGGTGTTTATTTAGGTGATCCAGAATATGACTATATTAATTTTTCATATCATCATGCAAATGAAAACACAAGAGTTAAAAATTCTTACAGAACTACTAGTTGTCCGTGAACATAGCCGCCGATACGACCTGCAAAATACTGTGTTCGTATGGTTGATCATTCATGTTACAAGTGAATAGGTTTTTGTGGGCTGTCTTGGAAACTAGAACCTTCATATAAAAAGATTTCTCTGAGGATGTGCCAAATCCAAAATAATTGACTTGCAAGTAGGCCTTAAAATACAACCTACTGATAATTTTTTACTGTCTAGATATTTTTGGATAGTCAGTAGGATCAAAAGATATTGTAAGAGAACTTTCTCAAATTGTCCTAAAATCTACAATGTCTCCTTGTCATCTGTCAAAAACCACATTTTTCCCCCCTTTTAGGGTTTGGTTTCCAAAATGTAAGACTTCCTGCCTGACATTATACCATCATTAGTATAAGTCAGTTGTTCTTAACAAATGTGATCCAGTGTGGTTCTTAGAAAAAAAATGTAAAAGTGGAGATTATGTCAGGAAGTCAGAAACCTGCTGCACTAAACATTACTGTCATGAAAATGCAGTATCTATACCTTGTTTACATTATTAATATGTACCACCAATGGGCGAAACGTTTCTACCCTAATTATCGCAAATTCACTATCAATGGGAATAGTAGAGTCTAATAGTAATAAATAAGACTAAAGTTTACCGAATATTGAGCAGAGTTCCCTGTGCTCAATGTTCTGTAGTAACCTAAGTGGGAAAAGAATTTGAAAAAGAACAGATACACGTATATATATATAATTTGAATCACTTTGCTGTACACCTGAAACCAACAAAACATTGCTAATCAACAATACTCCAACATAAAATAAAAATTTTAAAAAGAATAATAATAAAAAAATAAAAGACAAAGAAAGTTTAAAAAGACTAAAGTTTAATAAGCTTTACTATACAGATTTTTGCTGGCTAGTCAGTTGATCTGTAGTGAACTTATCTTATCTGAAGGGTGTCTAATCTGTGTTTCCAAGCAAATGTTAAAGCTTTCAGTCAACTTATGTCTCTTCTGTGACGCTGAGCTTCTCCAGGGCAAAAAGCTGCATCACTCATTTCAAAAATCCCTAGCATCTAGTATAGTGCCTAGAACATAGGCACTCAGTAAATATCTAATACATAATTGAATTGTTTCATTTCTCTTTGTCCCCTTCCCTCACAGTCCTATTCGTTGGCCTCATATTAAATGGATGATCACTAAACCTCATGCTGTCTGATTGGTTAATGAGCAGCTCATTAAGTATCAATGACTAGATAACTGATAAGACATCCTCTATGTAACAGTTTTCTTCAAAGAAACTAACATTATCTGTGAATCCTGCCAACATATTTAGGATAAATAAGGGATGGAGAGATTGCACCTAAGGTCACACAGTGAGAGAGTGAGTCCTTAACTTCTACTGGAACTTCAAGCCATGCTCTCAGTTTAAAGAATGCATCATAACTGAGACAACTTGAGGAACTTTTTGAAAGAAACTTCTTTTCACAGGGAACATTGTATTGGCAAATGTGCTGATCAAATTCCAACTGTGCATTCCCTTTTAAAATGTCAAAATCTGTTTACTCCTCTAATTTACATCCATACTCCATACTGCTGGCACTGTGGGATTCAGCAAGCCTGAGATGAAATCATCTAATCTCCCATTATTAAGGAATAAACTACAGTTCTTTATGTCATGACTGTTGTAGGTCAGAAGAGAACATAAATATCCCCTCAATCCATTTTTTAGTGCTTTAGTTTCTTGTTAAACTGGCAGCAGTAATCATAATGATAACCAGTTGTTCTTAACAGACATGATATAATGTGGCTTTTAGAAAAAAGTTAAAAAAGTAGAGATGGTGAAGATGAGCCCGGGAGGGTAGAAACCTGCTTTATGGAACTCAGTAACTCTGGGGAGCTGCAAAGTGCTTCCACTTCAAGTCCTGCATTAAACCCTGGAAACAATTTGACAAACTAAAGTTAGTTTAATCTAAGTCACTGGAAAGCAAAAGCCATGTCTTGTATGTGGAATTTTATAAAATCTAATTAATTCAGTTATGACCCTCATGAGAAAGGTGATTATTGGGATTCTCAGTTATCATAAAAATATTATTTGCTGGGTGTCTCTGATCCCATGCTAACACTGCGTTAAATGTGTTCATGGAGCAGATCCTTTGCATTTTGGAATGTTACATTCCAGGATCATGACTACACTGAAGTAGAAAGGCATCTGGTGCAAATTGTATATCCAGCATTTATCTAGAAAGAGAGGTAACTAAGTAAACGCAAAGGGCTAACCCTCGGTGTCAGCTGAGGCTCCATGTGCATGGTTGGATGATGTAGAAAAAGTCATAGAATGTGTGTATTTAGATGGAGTGCAGTTGGTAGAGAAAGGACAAATGCTATTTTTCCTAGTTTATGTCCTGGGGCACAAGCATGCAGTCAACAGGGAAATTCTGCGGGCTTACTCTGGGAGCTTCTAAATACAGTCTAATATTCTGCGTTCATTCCAAACTATCATCCTGATTTCCCACAGTATAAATTTCAGTTCAATCTAACAAGCATATGTGAATCTGTTTTAAGTGCGAGGTCCTGCAGGGATACAAAACTATATTGAACATGTTTCCTACCATGAAATACAACTTTAATAAAAATGTAAAAACTAGCAACACAGAGGGAAAATAATTTGATTCTGACTAAATGTACCTGGAAAAGCCTCTTAGGTTATGTCTGAGCTGGATAATTAAAGCCAGCAAACAACAGACATGTACTACACCAAGACCCTGGGACCTGTGAGCACATAGTGGGAGTGGGAGTGGGGGAGGTGATGAGGGAATGTTTGTTCCCAAACTTGGTGGATAAAGAGAAATCCATGACTTTTCTCTTTAAAATCACGAAAAGAAAATGAGAAGCATACCAGATTCACACAGTTCAATATTAGTGATAAAGGTGTATAACTAAAACCTAGATGCTTAAGCTTCTGTAAATTTTTATCTATAAATGTCTCTTTTAAATATTCTCTTCTTTATTATTTGTAATGTTCTATATGTAAACAAAAATTGAAATGGTACCGTCAACAATATTGGTTTTTCATGCCTATGGGAAGCCTAGCTATTCAGAAAAGAAAGCTGTCACCTTCTACCTGATGGCAACTGACCCTAATTGTCTTCACCATAATCAAAAATGATGTGTTAACAAATACTGTATGCTAACACATATATATAGAATCTAAAAAAAAAAAAAATGGTTATGAAGAACCTAGGGGCAGGATGGGAATAAAGATGCAGACCTACTAGAGAATGGACTTGAGGACATGGGGAGGGGGAAGGGTAAGCTGGGACAAAGTGAGAGAGTGGCATGGACATACATACACTACCAGATGTAAAATAGATAGCTAGTGGGAAGCAGCCGCATAGCACAGGGAGATCAACTTGGTGCTTTGTGACCACCTAGAGGGGTGGGATAGGGAGGGTGGGAGGGAGATGCAAGAGGGAGGGGATATGGGGATATATGTATATGTATAACTGATTCACTTTGTTATACAGCAGAAACTAGCACACCATTGTAAAGCAATTATACTCCAATAAAGAGGTTAAAAAAAAAATGAAGTGTTAGCCAACCTACAAAGTGTTGACAACCAATTGTGATGATTGGAAAAATATTGTTGTGGACTTCTATAAAATGGACATGGGGAGCTTTGCAAGGACCCTACTTGACAGCACTGACTGGATGGAGAATAAATGGAGCAAAGTGAAGATAGGAAGCAGTTAGGAGATAAAGAAGTAACAATCGATGCAGTTAACAGAGTTTATTGAATGGGCTCTATACACTCAGCACCTACTTGTCCTGTGGCCACCACTGCCAGCCCTGACATGGAGATGAGGTCACCTCACTAAATCAAATAGTTCCATGGTCTCTTTTCTGCATTGAAAATTCTGATTCTAGTACTAAAATAGGAACCCCTCTGCAAATTATTTTAGGGTTTGTGAGGTCATTAAGAGACATTCAGGAGGATTTTTCCATGATTCAATATGAACCCTCCCAGCCCTCATCATGCTAATTATTTTATCCAACTCCTGTATGTTATTATGCATTTATTTTTCTTCTATGGGTCCTGATTTTCTATTTGTTTTTCTTGTGAATTTTTCTTCTCCTCAAACAGACTCTCAGCAGAAGAGTCAAGGACTGTCCATTCTACTACTTTTGTGAAGCAGTATTAGCAAAGGCATTAATAGCATGGCTTTTCAAGGGAAATTGTTGTTTTCAAATCCTGGCTCTACATTTAATAGCTGTGTGACCTAGGAGCTAGGATTAGGGTGAAGTGAGTAGGGTCCTCACCTTGGGTGCAAAATTTAAGGAAGTGCCCCAAGAAATCAGTAATCAAGATATATATCTTAATAAAATATTTTTAAAAATCAAAATTTAGGGAAAATCCATGATGAACAAAATGTCGAATTTTAAAATAAAGGCACAATGTTTTTTGTTTGTTTTGAGATCCTGCTGTGCTGTTCAAAGAATAGGATTTTCCTATCAGCCTGTGGTTCCTTGGTCTTCATGGCATCATGCCCCCCACGGGTGCGGGTTTGAAGGTTGACAAGGGCAGGAGAAAAGATTGAACAATGCATGGCTTCATGTAGTCATTTTTCAAAATGTTAAGCTGTAGAGAGTTTATTAATTTTTTCCACTGAGGTAAAATATGAGAGAATATTTTGATAAGTGCATATAGGGATACATATTTTTCCTTTTGTCTCAGAATTCTATACAGCCTTGGATACGTTGCCCAGCCTGAGTTTTAGTTCTATCATCCACGAAAGGGGATAATTGTAGTTATATAATATAATTATATTATAATTATATAATTATAGTTTTATAATTATATAATAATTATAGCTTTATAATTATATTATAATTATAGCTTTATAATTATATTATAATTATATTGTTACAGTACCGGCTCCATGGTGTTATTGTGAGGTGCTAAATATCTTAGCACAGTACCTAGGCTCAATACATATTAAAAACTAATCTTTAAAGAGTTCGTTTTAGGACTCTCCATAATTCTTCAGTTTAGTTGAGCAGAGAGTAAATACTCATGAATTCACAGCAGGCTGACTCAGTTGAGGCTGGAAGACAGTGATTTAGTATTAATTGAACATCTATTGAGTGTTAGGACTCGTGTAGGTGTATCAGATACATTAGCTAGTTCAGTCTACATTCCTCATTCAGTTTTGTAAGGGTCTACCAAGTTGGAAATCCCATGAAGTTTTAGAAATATTTATTAATATTTTTAAAATTATCAAAAGAAGAAAAGAAAAGAAAAACAGGCAAGAATAAAGGTTCTGTGGAAGATCCCCTACCAGACTGTTTCCGGAAGAACAGGTGCCCTAAGATCATTCTTAACAGGTAGGAGTTGAGGTGTATTCTCTGACCCTTATCACCAAAGGTAGATCAATATATCATAAAACACTCCTTTCAATCAGCAAATTGTCCACATCTCTAAAATCTCCAATTTATACAAAGACCTCTGGCTTCCTGGAATTTCTTATACATTTTTCATTCGAGAGAGTCCACCAAAAAAATTTTGTTTTGTGATGGCTTGGTTTTATTAAGATGTGCTGTCTCAGAGGCTTCTTTGTCCCTTTTTTGGTGCTGTGTCTTAAGTACCTTCTTTGTGTGACCTGAGAGCAAGTTAGCTAACCTTGGTTTATTCCAGATCGTTGTAAGGAGTAAATAAGGTAAGACTTGAAAGAACTTGGCACAGTGCCTCAAACACAGTAGGTGCTAAATAAATTTAAGCTATGACTAATAAGAATATAAAAATGTAGTAGTGGTCATCGTATAATGTTAGTATTGTCTCTCCCTCTCCCAGCCCTAGACATTTCATCGTTCCCCTGCATTTTGTCACCTCTCTTCCCATTTGCTCCACGAAGGCAGGTGCTCACATGCAGATTCTTGCCTCGCCCCTTTATATCTGGAGCCTCTGGAATCTCTCAGGCTGTCCTGATGTTGTAGATTACAGGGCACACTTTGCAACCGAATCCGTCTTTCCCAACGAAGGAACAAATCCCTCCTCTACAACAGTCAAGCACCCAGAAGATAAACAAACAAAAAACACTCTGCATAATTTTTTAAATATCTTTTCTCCATCAGTTAAACTACCCTGGCCAGTCACCCCCAGCTATGCAGTAAAGGAAAAAGCAGTTCTCTCACCAATCTCCACCTTCAGCCTCTGACTGCCCTTCTTCCACGACAGAGTAACAGATGGAAGTGTTCCAAATGGTGAGTCATTTACTAAAAGATCAAGCACTCTGAACCCCTAGATTCTCACAAAAGCAGTCCCTGTGCGTAAAACAATAGCTGTAAAGCGTAGCTTATGCTGAAGAACCTGCAGGGGGAGCCAGCCTCCTTAATTACTGGCCTCCAGATCAGCAGACGCTGAGTGAAATGCCTTCCTCTCTCTTCTGCCGTCAGGGCTCCTTTTGGGGCCCCTGTCTCCAGAACATAAGTTCTCTCCCTTTAATTTTCTGTATCCTTCCTCGTTAGGAAGGCAGTGGCACAGACTCTTAAGTCCTACTTTATGTGGGTATAAAGTTACGTTCTTTGCTTCAGGAGTAAGTCTGTGATTCTCTGCAGGCATTACTACCTGTATATCTGTAGGTAAAGCTGATACCAATCCTCACCATGTTCACCTAAAAAATTGTCTTGCGTAAGAGTTTCTACTAAGTATATTCTGGAAATACCTATCTAAACTATCTAAGTAGTCTGCCTTCCTGTTTTCCACTTCTTGCTCTGCTCCCAGCTCATACTTGAATTTTCTCCCTCACCTGGCTTCCCTTTCTTCTACCCTGAACTGTCTCAATTTTTAAACCAGAGAGTCCAAGTCACAGACCTTTGTTTTCATTATTTCATGGCTTCTCCCCCATCCGATGCATTCCTGTTCACCCTTCTCCTTTTCAGTTCCTTCCGTTTCCCCAACCCCTACTCATAATGATTCATCTGTTGTTTGGAGTTAGACCAGTGGTTTTCAGCCCCCGGTCCTCTGAGGACCTTTTAAAAAATGTGCCCTGGGATGAGACTGATCCCAGAACAACTCCAGTAGAACCTCCAGAGAAGAAGCTTGTGCATCAGAATGTGTTCAAAGCAACTCAGTTGAAAATATAGAGCTATACTGAAGGAGGATAAGGACATAGCCTTTCCTCTCTGCTTATGCCCCTGAAGAGTCCCCTTCTTACTAGGCCCTTAGTCAGCACATTTACTGACCCTGCCCAACACTGTGACATCTCCGGGACCTGGTCCATGAGATTCAGGCTAAGGCAAGAATAATGAAGGCTTTTTTTCATAGACCCACAAAAAGGTAATAGACTAGAGGAATCAAGTATTCCAGTTAAATTCTGATTTCCAAATTCAGATTAACATTTACAGCCTATTCCTTATGTGTCCTTTTTTGTGTGTGTGTGGTACGCGGGCCTCTCACTGTTGTGGCCTCTCCTGCTGCAGAGCACGGGCTCCTGACGTGCAGGTCCAGCGGCCACGGCCCACAGGCCCAGCCGCTCCACGGCACGTGGGATCCTCCCAGACTGGGGCACGAACCCGCGTCCCCTGCATCGGCAGGCGGACCCCCAACCACTGCACCACCAGGGAAGCCCCTTATGTGTCCTTTTTGAAGGTCACAATCACAGAAATAAGAGCAGAAGGACAGCAACTAGGCTGAGGTAAGGAGGTAAGGAGATACCAAAGACACAAAATTTAAGGAGGCACTCACTCTCAGGTGCCCACCCTGCACTTACAAGATCCTGGGAGTGACTGCTTCCTTAAATTTTGCATCCTAGGAGACTCTCTTTACCTCATTCTAGTCCTGGCTCTGAAGGGAGCTAAAATGAGACCTTTTCTAAAGGAATGCTGGAATGCTGGGAAGCGAGGATGACTGTGATCACCCAGTTTAGTGAAGATTTAATGAGTAAAACTGATACGGCCTCCTGAGCACATCTTAGCAGTAAGATTTCAGAACTTGAAATGAGAATTATGATCTGACATTAGCTCCCAGCGCTGTACCCCACCCCCCAAATCCCACCCCCAATATGCAACTTATGGAAGGTTATGAAAGGCAAGTTTTAGTCAGAAGAACAGCAAGTTTCTATTCGTGTTAAGAGAGAGTGACACAAATTTATAACTGAAAGTCAAGTGTCACGATACTTTCTCTAGTAACATACTCAGTATCTCTTAATTTCAATCCTTCATTCATGATGTCTATTGTTACAAGATACAAATGAATTACTGCATGTGGGACACCTAGTCCAGAGCTGGCACAACTGAGTGCTCAAAGCTGGTAACCATTTTGTCTCATCAGGAGGATAATGGAACTCAGGAAACACTTCTCACCCAGTATCACCCCATCAGCAATTCCACGTTATTTAAAGACAGAGTCAAGCCAGGTACAGACTACAGCCTCTACCTCTCTCCAGTCCAAATCCAGGATGATGGCCGGAAGTTCCCTTGCTAGGCTGTAGTCAGGTCTGGCAAAATCTTCAGGCGCTCCACCACGGTCAGGGTTTTTGCTAAGAGTTTCTGTTCTCTGGACTCCCTGCCATCCTCCTGTCACTGTCTCCTGCTTTCTCGCCACTAAAGAGGAAGCACCCTGTTAGCGGGAGAGCAGCCACACAAGGGTCACTGTTCTGGAGTTCTGTTTGCCTTGATAGTTGTCATTCGTGTTACAGCTGGGGACGAGGGTAGGAAGCTAAAGAATGATGGTTCAGTTGCCAAAGATCGGTCAGTTTCCTGGTGACCACTACCTTATGTGCAATTTTAATGTTTCCTGAGAATACTGGAAGTCTCTTTAATTATAACTAGGTCTAATTGCTTAGTTGTCTAATTGCCTTAGTTGCTTTCTGGAGCAGAGTGGAATAAGGCCAGTGTGAGAAAAGGAAAATGATAAACACAGCTCCAAAGAAACTCTGCAGGAGTTCTCTCACCCCAACCAAGGCCAGCTGGGGTGAGAGACTGTCCAGCTTCTCTAGCCAAAGAACCTGCTGGGATGGCCCTCTGACCCTGCAATCACAGGAGAGTGGAGCTTAGGTGAAATATCCACTGTGGCCTCAAACAAATTGCAGAGACTCTGCAGGGTGTGAATTTAAGGGAAATGTGAAAATTCTATTTTGCTCAGTGATGCAAGGAAACATCAATAAACAGAAACCCTTGGCTTTGGATATTTTTCATTTTTGTGACTTAAGAACTGTGTTTTTTAAAACATCATTTTTAAATGAAGGCAAAGAGAAAAACAGTGATGTGGATGAGCAATTAATTGTTTTTGAAAATGAGGTAAACAAAGAGAAAATAATTCACACCACCTAAGAGCATGGGCTGGTAGATTTTTTCTCAGTTGTCTGAATGATAGGGCAAGTGAAAAATCTTTGTTTTTACTTAGAATCTTATTGATTATTATTAGAGGTCACACAATTCAGTATTTTGAAGGAAATGCGAACCCTTTAGTTTATAAAGGTGGGAGGTGCTACAGCCAAAATGTATTTAGTTTGAAGTCGCTTGCTTATAGCTTCTCCTGTATCTCTTTCTCCAGCTCTCACTCTCGTCCTCCTGCCCTGCCTCCCTTTCTCCTTCCTTCCCTCCCTCTTTTTCCATCTCTCCTCAGGGATGGGCTAGGAAATAATCAGTTGCCCTTGATGGTCAGGTTCCTTATGGAGCCTAGACAATGCCCTGTGATGAGTTGGAAAGGCTGTTCATCTCTTTTATTGACATCACCATTCACTCACTTATGGGGTATGACTGTCTTAGCACAAACATGAAGCTGACTCATCTGGCCTGACTATTGGCAAATCGATGGAGGCAGCCATCCGGGGTGTGAAAAAAAATAATTCTGTGTTAGGCAAACTGTGTCCCATTTGGCCAAGAGTTTTTGTACCATAACTCCATCTAATTGCCTTGCCAACATTTAAACCATGTCCTGTATCTCTTTGCTGCATTAAAATACCTTCATCTTGGTCTGGAATGCTTTTTACTCTCTTACGTCTCATCTTTATCACCCTGTCTCTACATCTCTCTGTCTCTATATTTCTGTTTTCTTCTTCTTTGAACTCCTTTCAGTGGATGCTCAAAAATATGAAACTCTGCCTGTTTGTTCATAGAATTAGATTTCTCCTGCTTCTTGGTCTTCTCCTTTAGCACATGGGCCAGTTGTGTTGTGTTTGGACAGTCTTTAAGCTATTTGGGAGTGTCACCTGAGTGTATATCATAGTGATCCTGGCAGAGGTATACACATACCGTATTCAGGACCCACTCTGCGTGCCTGGGTGATTCCCCGAATAGAATAAACCAAAAACAAAAACATGAAAACCTTGAAATAAATATTCAAATGTATCGCTGAGCCATTCTATAAGCCCTAAGTCCAGTTTATTTCTTCTTCCAGAACACCTTCATTCTCTGGCAGACCAGGGATTAGAAGCTTCCCCTCTGCTACTTCCTGCATCCCTCTCACTAGCCTCCTTTGACTTTCCTTTCTTTAGTGGGGAGCCACCTGCCATCACAAGTTTGCTCTCCTGCACTCCTAAGCTCTAAACGTGATTGTCCTGAGCCCCCCAAAGAATCTGTCTCGCTCAATCACCTCTGCAACTTTTAGTAATTGTTCTTGCTTTCAGGTCCTTCACTCTACTGGCATTTGTTGCTAATAGGAAATCAGAAGTAGGCCTCCTCCCATAACCATTTTAGGTTGTATCTTGGTTTGGGTTCCCCTGAAAGAAAACTTTGAGACAAGGATTTGAATTAAATTAATTTATTTGAGAGGTAGTCCTAGAAAACATAGGACTGGGAAAATATGTCAAGGAAGGGAAGGAAGATAATAAAATGTACGTGATCAAGCCAGTTAGCACTAGGGTTTAGAGCTCATTCCCACTGGGAAACCCTGGGAGAATACCCATCAGAGTTATACCAAACAAAGATGAGGAAGCTGGGGTGTTATCCACCAACTCCCCACCTGTTGTCACCATTAACCCTCTGGGACTTCCAGTCTGCTCTACTTGTGGACTGAGTGTGTTCCCATAACCTCAGTAGATCTTCAGGAGAGGATCATATATATGCCCAGCAAGAGGCCTTCAGTAAGCAGAGGCTGAGTGCATGTAGCAGACACTGATGGCATCTGTGACAAGGGTCTTAATCTTTTTTCCACTGGTTCATAGAGGGCATTGTCTGCTATACTCAAGAACTTACTTGAGGGATTTCCCTGATGGCTCAGTGTTTAAGAATCTGCCTGCCAGTGCAGGGGACACGGGTTCGATCCCCAGTCTGGGAAGATCCCACATGCCGCGGAACAACTAAGCCCATGCGCCACAACTACTGAGCCTGTGCCCTAGAGCCCGCGAGCCACAGCTACTGAGCCCATGTGCCACAACTACTGAGCCCACTTGCCACAACCACTGAAGCCCACATGCCACAACTACTGAAGCCCGTGTGCCTAGAGCCTGTGCTCCACAACAAGAGAAGCCACTGCAATGAGAAGCCCGTGCACCACAACGAAGAGTAGCTCCCTCTCGCGGCAACTGGAGAAAGCCAGCACGCAGCAATGAAGACCCAACGCAACCAAAAAAATAAATAAATAAAATAAAATAAATAAAAATTTTTTTAAAAAAAGAACTTACTTGAAGTCACTTCAGTTCAACATGATGTCCTCAATGTCTGTTTTATGCTGGGCACTTAAGTGCTAGAGATGGAGAGATGAATAAAGCATTCTGGCTCCAAGGCACTTACAATTTAGCGGGACAACAAAATCGCTGAAATAGCCCCTGATCTTTTCCAGTACCAAACAACTAAATAAGAACCAGGTGTTCTTCCTGCCCCTTCAGGGACCTCTAACTTGTGCTTTATTTCTAGGCCTTTGGACACATAGAACATTCCTCTCTTCCGTCTGCCCACTGCCTGCCCCTCCTCTCCCCCACATTCCTCCTTTCACCTGACTCACCCAGAGGCATCTTTCAGATATCAGATGTGGCCTCTTCCAAAAGCCTCTTCTTATTCCCTAAGGTTGAGTTAGAAGCTTTTCTCAAAAGCGTTCTTCAAATCCCACATGTCCTTAATAGCAATACTTATATCCGTTCTATCAATTCTAATTTCTAGTTTATGTATCTGTATTTTCCATGAAAATGTAAATTTCTTGAAGATGATGAATATGATTTCTTCACCTTTGTTTCCTAGGCATCTAGTATACTGCTGGCACACAGTGGGAGTTTAATAAATATCTGATGAGTTATGAATTTTTTACACACACACACACACACACACACACACACACACACACACACACACACACACACACTAGTGACCAGGTAGGGTATCATTCAGGGCCACTAACTAACTGTGTTTTATTTGCCTTTAAGCTAAGCCAGAAATCTCCACGATTGTGGAAAATAATTCCATGGGTGTCTTCGGAGAGGTGAGTCACGTTAAAGTTTTTGAAAATCTACAGCATAATTATGCCAGTGTGTGTCAGTTTGCATCATTGCTCAGAATGTTTCTCAGAGGACCTTATTCCAATTAATTTCTGGTGGGAATGAAGGAAAGCTGAGTTGACTCTAGAACTCAAATGGGAATCCTTATTTTCTGACTTAGGGCTCTCAGAACATGTTATCTTGTGATCCTTAGTCCTTAAGTTTCCTGGAAAAATTGTCTCAATTGTTTAAATTTCTGTTTAATAAATGTTGAAGTAGATAGTGAAGGAAAAGTAGGGCAGGAAGCAGTGTGAATCCTGTTGTAAGAATGAGGTTTTTGCTCATCCTTTGACGTTTAATTTGTTCTAATTCATTTTCTATACCAGCTTTCCTAGTGTTTTTATTTTTAAGTGACAAGAGGAAATGTACCCTTCTGAACTCATTCAGAGCCTGGCTATTTCTTAGGCAGTACAAGGAAGGGCAGGAGAAAAAGGAAATTAGAATAGGCCCCTCTGACTTCAAATTCTTGTAGGCAGTTCCCAGCCTCTAGTCTCTGGGATCTGGGCTTATTTCCCAGCTCTTCCTCTTGCTGGCTGTGACCTTGAACTAATTACTTCACACCTTTGTAGTCAGTTTTCCCATCTATATGAAGGGGGTAAGGAGAGTATCAGCACGTTGTTGTTGTTTTTAGGAATTAAATGAAATAATCCATGAAAAATTCTTGGTATATTGTTTGGTATATATTAAGTGCTCAATAAGCATTTTGTTGTTATTACTACTAATGTGTGTTGATCAGCTGTCTTATGGCATTATGGCTTCATTGAAACTTTTCAAAATCCCAAGTAAAATAAATATTCTTCTTAATTCTCAAACATTTCCTGTTACATGGGATGAGAGAAAATTATATTCCAGTTTCTTCTAGCCCCAAGAACATTAAATAACTTATGATTTCTTGTCATGTTTTCACTGAATATCAGTCATGTAATTTGACAGCTGCATTCAAATCATAGCTCAGGCTCTGTGGTGTGGTTTTAGATGAGTATATTATCCAAGTCTTTTGATTTTATGAATTAGTCTCTTAGATTAATTGTTATTATAGTCCCAAGTACATAGGAAAGGTTTCCATTTTTTTGTTATGCCACAATTAATTTTCAAGTTTATTAGTGGACTGCATTTCAATAGTTTAAGTAAAATAAATAATCTAATGATATAATGTTTGGTAGGTGTTTTGTTTCTTATCAGGATTTTTTTGTAGGTTCTTGGGCCAATGTTTATAGGTAACATGGACTCAATCCAGATATAGAACCACAAGGTTGGATCCAAGAATTCCAGTTTAAAAAGAAAAGGACTTTGTCTTATGTGTCATCAGATTTTCTCTTCTGTACCCATGCTTCCCTGGGCACTGACTAGAAAAACCAGAGAACTTTCCTTCCTGGGGAATTAGTTGGAATTAGTTGGTGCGGAATCACCAACTCCACATAACCAGCTACAGGACACAGCTCGTCTGTGGATCCTTTAAGACCTTGACAAACGTTGGTAATTCCTCACTCTGATATTCTTATAATCCCAATTATATTTTTAATAACTTATTAACTCTTCAAAGCCCTTTCACATGCTTTTATCACGTGATGCTCCCAATAAGCCTCTGAAATAGGTAGAACATCTTGTTATTTCACAGATGAGAAATCGGGGCCTGGAGAGTCTAAGCCACTGGCTGAGCCACTAATGAAGGGCAGAGGTGGGAGGAGAATTTAGCATGCCTGTACCCAGGCAGGATGGCCTAACGGAAGGAGATCGTGCTTTAGGGGCAGATAGAACTAAGGTCAAATCCTAATTCAACCGCCTACTAGCAACATAGCCTCATCTAGTAGTTAAGCTCTATGAGTCCCAACTAACTCATCTCCAAAACTGGGATCATAATCAACATTACACAGGGTTCTTAGGTGCATTGGATTTATGCGCAGTAACGGAGTACGCAGCACAGAGTGGATGTCTCAGAAATGTTTCTTCCCTTCCCACCACTTATCACTCACTCACTCTCTTTCACTTATTCCTTCCTCTGCATGAATATTCATAAATCTGCTATGTGATTGACTCAGAGACAGTGGGAGTTAATGAAAAAACACAACAAGATAGGTTGTGGAATCTGATGAACCTGGGTCTGAATTCTCCTCCTTCACTATTAACTCTGGGCCTTGGACCAGATTAGATTAGATTAGATTAGATTCCTCATCAATGAACAGGGACAATGATACCAACCTCACAATGGTGACATAAGGACCAAATGAGAGACCTGTATGCAAACTATCTACTATCTGGCAACCATTAGTGCTCAGTAATGGTAATTTCGTACCCTCTTCCCTTCATCTCTTAAAAGTTAACCAAGTCAACATGCATGTATTGATGCTTACTAGGCGCTACATGTTCACTGCACCAGCAGCCCTAAGTGTTAGAACAATAGGGGTTTGGTCAGCTGTGAACTGTGTCTTCCAGTGTTACTAGTTAAAATTACAAAGCTTATGGTTAATTTAGCTTTCCTGTAGAATAGAAAAGCCCCCAGATTATTCTATCAATGATGCCTTTCAGGCTTAGACATGCTAGGGATGTCCACGGAGAGTGTCACCCCTATGGATGTCGTGTTCTTGCGTGTTTCCGAGGGCTCGGCTTTGCCAGGGCTCCAGCATGGCACACAGCCTCACCTCCACAGCTCCATGGAAAGAAAGAGTCTTTAACGTAAACTTCAGGGCCCCCCATGTAGCAGCTTTTTGCTCTAGAGCAAGAGATGCTGGGCCAAAGAGTCCCTCGGCCACAGCCCCTGGCCCTCTATACCCCTTACTCTGATGATGCAGCAAAAGAAAGCACAGGAGAGATACACGAAAACTCTAGTTTACTCAGCAGGGCGGTCTTTCCACAAGCCACATGTGTGTCTTTTTCCTGCCTGTGCTTTTACTAGATCATCTCCGTGGGTCCTGTCCTTGTCACTCTCTATTATGTTTTACAAAATTTAGGAAAAAAACTAAAAAAAAAAACAAACAAACAAAAAACAAAACTACCTCATGTGTGAAACGTAGGAAACAAAAGCAGGTGGGATTGAAATGCCTAAAAAGGAAGAGAGGTTAAAATAATAAAACCCATGGAAAAAAGTCACTGTAATCTAAAAGCAAAACGTCAGAGTTTAGCAGGACATCTCCAGTAGCTATTTACAGAATTTGATTGTTTCTGTTTATTTAATTTTGTTTTTGCAAAGCCTGAGTTTTGTGCATTCCTTGACCTTCTTAAGCTCCATTTCCTGTGTGTGTGTGCGTGTGTGTGTGTGTGTGTGTGTGTGTGTGTGTTTAAGATTAGATATTGCCACCTTTTTTTCCCCTCATAGCATCTTTTGTAGCACATTAAGATTCTGAGTCCAAATCTCCAGCCGTGTGACTCCCAGCCGCCATCATCATTTGCAGCAGTGAGCCCCTGAGCCCCTGAGCTTTCACCACAGATGGAAAGGGTCCTAAAAGGGGCATCACACCCCCGGGGGGAAACCATAAGGAAAGTGAAAGCTTTAATATCAGGCAGGTTTCTAGAAAAAAGGGGATTACAGGACTGCAATGCAGCCTGGGTTTTTCACAAGCCTGGTGTTTGGACTTGTGTGTTTTCACAAACAGCTCACAGGGAAGACAGATCTGACTGTTAGAGCTGCTGACATGTCTAAGAACAGCAGTTAAAAGGAGCCACATAGCTGGGGACCGAATAAGGCAAGACACCATTATTATACCAGGATCTTGTCTGCTTTAGGGACATGGCTGTCTACAAGATGAAATGCTGGCTTTGTCTCCTCTTGTCTTCCCCCGCTCTCACCATGCCCTCTTCCCCACTCCCAATGCAGTTTTGTTTTGTTTTGTTTGTGTTTTTTTGCGGTACGCGGGCCTCTCACTGTTGTGGCCTCTCCCGTTGCGGAGCACAGGCTCTGGACGCGCAGGCTCAGCGGCCATGGCTCACAGGCCCAGCCGCTCTGCGGCATGTGGGATCTTCCCGGACCAGGGCACGATCCCGTGTACCCTGCATCGGCAGGCGGACTCTCAACCACTGCGCCAACAGGGAAGCCCCCAATGCAGTTTTAAAAATAAATAATAGGTTCTACAGGAATCATCCGAAACAAGTCAGCTCCAGCACAAAGGCCAGAGTAGTTTCTAGTTTGATTTTATTCTACTCCTGAGTTAATATCTTAAGCATATCCTCAGCAGCCCAGGGCATTTTCCTCTCCATATGGACTGCTGGATCCCTTTTCTCAAAGCATCTCTAAATATTTAAAGATGAACAGCTCTTAAAAAATCGGAGAACGAGGCATTGGCATGCAGTTAGTATCTTAAAGAGGAATATAATCTGAAACCTACTGCTCAAATGAATGAGTGGTCTGTGTGGTATGCGGGGACAAAACAAAAGCTACTTAACTCATTAAAATTGACCTCAGAAGCTAAGAACATGTTCTCTGTCCTTCACTCTCTCAGACAGTCAAGGTCTCCTACCTTTCCATGGTGAATTTTCTCTAGGGAACTGTCTCTCTTATCTTCACATTTCTTCTCTATCCCTGTTTCTTTTTTGGTTTTCTGCCTCTGTTCTTTATTTCTCCTAATATACCCCAATCTCTCCACCTTTTTCTTTTTCTTTCTGAGGTTCTTTCATCTCTTCCTCACATACTCCTCCTTTAACAGAGCTTAAAATGAAATCTTTTTTTTTTTTTTTTTTTTTTTTTTTAGTGGTACATGGGCCTCGCACTGCTGTGGCCTCTCCCGTTGTGGAGCACAGGCTCCGGACGCACAGACTCAGTGGCCATGGCTCACGGGCCCAGCCGCTCCGTGGCCTGTGGGATCCTCCCGGACTGGGGCACGAACCCGTGTCCCCTGCATCGGCAGGCAGACTCTCAACCACTGTGCCACCAGGGAAGCCCGATATCCTCTATTCTTGATGTTTAATTCAAGTGAGTTGAAAAGTCTTTACTTTTCTCTGTGCTGATTATGCA